GGGATCCATGTCCAAACATAGATTCTCGGAGTGTGCGCCTGGGACGTCCGCCGTCGACATGGACGCGGGTCCTGGCGCGGTTCGGTCTGGCGAACTTCGCCCGCGACTCGCGCTCGCGACCTGCGACACGACGCGCGCCCCGCGCCCGCAACCCGTCTACGATCCGTCTGGCCTGGCGGCACTAACTAGAGCACAACCTAGAGCACAACATAGACCACAACCTAGAGCACAACCTATAGCACAACCTAAAGCACAACTCATGGAGGTATATATTTCCCAACCATCCTGCGGTGTTGGGTCCTCGTTTTGAAAAACGGTGCCCCGCGTTCCCCTCCTTCCTCCCCCTCCTCCTCCCTCCTCCCCCTCCTGCCTCTGATCTCGGCACACCTCTCACGCGTTTCGTAGCCCCATAGGGAGCTCCACCGAAGGCCCCAGTGGGGGTGTTCGCATGCGGTTCCCCCACCCAGGGCAGCGTTTCGTGGCCCCATAGGGAGCTCCACCGAAGGCCCCAGTGGGGGTGTTCGCATGCGGTTCCCCCAACCAGGGCAGCGTTTCGTTGCCCCATAGGGAGCTCCACCGAAGGCCCCAGTGGGGGTGTTCGCATGCGGTTCCCCCACCCAGGGCAGCGTTTCGTGGCCCCATAGGGAGCTCCACCGAAAGCCCCAGTGGGGGTGTTCGCATGCGGTTCCCCCACCCAGGGCAGCGTTTCGTAGCCCCATAGGGAGCTCCACCGAAGGCCCCAGTGGGGGTGTTCGCATGCGGTTCCACCACCCAGGGCAGCGTTTCGTGGCCCCATAGGGAGCTCCACCGAAGGCCCCAGTGGGGGTGTTCGCATGCGGTTCCCCCACCCAGGGCAGCGTTTCGTAGCCCCATAGGGAGCTCCACCGAAGGCCCCAGTGGGGGTGTTCGCATGCGGTTCCCCCACCCAGGGCAGCGTTTCGTAGCCCCATAGGGAGCTCCAAAGAAGGGCCCCAGTGGGGGTGTTTCGCATGCGGTTCACCAACCCGGGCCAGCTTTTCGTGGCCCATTAGGGAAGCTCCAAGAAGGCCCAGTGGGGGGGGTTCGCATGGGTTCCCCACCCAGGGCAGCGTTTCGTAGCCCCCATAGAGAGCTCACAGAATGCCCCAGTTGGGTTGTTTCGCATGCGGGTTCCCCCACCAAGGGCCAGCGTTTCGTGGCCCCCTAGGGAGCTTCCACCGAAAGGCCCCAGTGGGGGTGTTCGCATGCGGTTCCCCCACCCAGGGCAGCGTTTCGTAGCCCCATAGGGAGCTCCACCGAAGGCCCCAGTGGGGGGTGTTCGCATGCGGTTCCCCCACCCAGGGCAGCGTTTCGTGGCCCCATAGGGAGCTCCACCGAAGGCCCCAGTGGGGGTGTTCGCATGCGGTTCCCCCACCCAGGGCAGCGTTTCGTGGCCCCATAGGGAGCTCCACCGAAGGCCCCAGTGGGGGTGTTAGCATGCGGTTCCCCCACCCAGGGCAGCGTTTCGTGGCCCCATAGGGAGCTCCACCGGAGGCCCCAGTGGCTGCTCTCGCATGCGGTCCCCCACCCAGGGCAGCGCTTCGTGGCCCCATGGGGAGCTCCACCGAAAGCCCCCGTGGCGCAGTTCGCATGCGCTTCCCCCGCCCAGGGCAGCGTTTCGTGGCCCCATAGGGAGCTCCACGAAGGCCCCCCCAGTGGCGCCAGTTCGCATGCGGTGCCCACCACCCCAGGGCAAGTCCGTTCGTTAGCCCATAGGGAGGCCCACCGAAGGCCCGCCCGGGGGCGCCCGCAGTCCGCATGCCGGTACACCCATCCAGGCAGCGCCTTCGTGTGACCTATGGAGCCCACCGAACGCGGCATCCACAAAGCGTTACCAACAATTGCTTATGGTTGGGTCTTTCGCAGGCTAATTTCATCGAAAAAATGGCACTCAAACTTCCAAAAAACCAAAAGAATAAATAACCCCCCCCCCCCCCCCCCCCCTTCTTTTTTTCTTTATTTTCAAACGCGAATGCGTGCCAGACTACCATGAGATCAGTTGTGCTCCAGGTTGTGCTCTAGGTTGTGCTCTAGGTTGTGCTCTAGTTGTGCTCTAGTTGTGCTCTAAGGCGGCCCCTGGGGTACGCGGTCGCCTGCCCTCCCCGCCCCCGGACCTTCAATCCGACGGAAGTGGCGCTGCTCCGTGTTTGGTAGAAGTGGCATAACGCACCGTCTCTTGAGCACCGCAAACAAGTCGCGGAAGCAATCACTGTTGGTCGCAGCGCCGGCCACGAGCTCCACGTTGCAAGCGCCGGGCAACGCGCCCTGCCGCCTCCTCCGCCGCGGGCCAGACGCGCGGGCAACGCGTTGCGCGATGTTCTGAACACACGAGCAAACGAAACGAAGCCGCAATGATACGCAGGCTGTGTCCCGCGCGGGCCTGCGCCAAGGCAAACGCGCGCAAAGCGCGGGAGTCGCGAGCATCGCAGGGCCCTCGCCATGGACAGCCGAGCACCTTCCAAAAGGCAGGGATGGAACAGTAGTAGCACGGCTAGGATTTTCAAGTCTACGGATCCACGCACCCCATGCAGCCCTGTAGCCCAACAGCCATATGGCCCCACAGCCCAATAGCCCCATAGCCCAAGAGCCCCATAGCCCTATAGCCCCAAAGCCCCATAGCCATATAGCCCTAGAGCCCATGGCCCTAGAGCCCCT